CTGAGTGTGTCCTTTATGTTTCCACGGAGCTGCAAACTGGATGGTCCCACTCTGACCTCTGGGCTTCCTGGCTCCTGGATCTCTAGGGAGGTGCTAATCTAGCCTTTGCCTGAGGCTATCCAGCAAAAGCCTCCCTGCAGGGCTTGGGCGGGGCGGGTCCCACGGGATCAACAGGGCGGGGCTAGCAGTTATGGCTGCTCTCAGTCTTGCCCTCAGAGGCTCTGCTTCTCAGTGTCCCGGTAATCGCTGCAAGCCCCTCGGAGAGAAAGCTGCCCTCAAGTTCGGACCGATGCCAGGCAGTCCCACTTCTCCCGTATGTCTGGGTCCCTAGAGACTCGCCTGGAACTGGAGCTCAGAGCCTGAGACTCCCTCCCGATTGAAAACAACAACTGCGCCCTCAGCCGCCACCTGCTCCGCATGCACCTCCGCACCCTAGTATTTTACTTCCGTACTGCGCCTCCTCTGAGTCTCAGTATGCTTTTCTCTTTCCTTCTAGTTGTAGAATTTTTCCATTAAACCATCTTGATTTCATAGTTGTAAAATGTGTGTCTCTGAGCCTAAACTGTTAACCTTATTTCAGCTATTTTTTCCTTTTTTTCCCCCGAAATACATTTTTATTAATTTTAGAGCGGGAGAGGTAGAGAGAGATAGAAACATCAATGATAAAAGGGAATCATTGATTGGCTGCCTCCTACACACCCCACACTGGGGATTAAGTCCGCATCCTGGTCGTGTGTCCAGATCAGGAATCAAACCAGAGACCTTTTGGTGCATGGGTTAGCAAGGCAACACTGAGCCACATGAGCTGCACCAGGCAGAATAATCTTGTTCTAAGATTACTCATAGTAAATTTCCTGAAACATTAATCTGTACTGTGGATTTGTGGGCATGTGTCATCCTCATGTGTCAGTGTTAGAAAACACATCAGAGAATGTTACTGGTCAAAGTGATCTATTAAATAATTCAGGATACTCCCCTAGGTCCAAACCTCTTCTCCTGACACTGTTTTCATGTTGGGTGACATTATGAACTCTTCTGGTGACCTCTTGGTAAATGTGTTTTTCTTTTAGGAACCATTAACCTTTCGGGATGTGGCCATAGATTTCTCTCAGGAGGAGTGGGAATGCCTGGACCCAGCTCGGAAATTGTAGTACCTGGATGTGATGTCAGAGAACTACAGCAACTTGGCCTCCCTGGGTAAGGATGACTCCTTCCTGAGTTCCTACTCCACCCGCAGTGTTTGCTTTCCTTTATTATTTTAACATCTCTAGGGACTTTTGCTTTCTGTGTTAGATTCTACCTCTCAAGGAACAAATTGGGCCCTAGCTGGTTTGGTTCAGTGGATAGAGCGCCTGCCTTCAGATTGAGAGGTCCCAGGTTCCATTCTGTTCAAGGGCAAATACCAGGATGTGGGCTTGCTCCCCAGTAGGGGGCGTGCAGGAGGAAGCCGATCAGTGATTCTCTCTCATCATTGATGTTTCTATCTGTCCCTCTCCCTTCTTCTCTGAAAGTAATAAAAGTATATATTTTTTTAAAAGGGGAACAAATCGGGGGTCCTTGGGATAGAAAAGAAACGCTTTGTGATGCATGTGAATTAGGAACTCAGTGTTTGCACACTTTATATGTTATATACACTAATTAAGGTACTATCAGAAAATAGGATTCCTCTGGTTTAGGGTTCTCTGTGCTTCCTGGACTTGTATGTCTATTTCTTTCATCAGGTAGGAGAAGTTTTCTGTCATTATTTCTTCAAATTGGTTTTCAATATCTTGCTCTCTCCCTTCTTCTGGCACCCCCATAATTCGGATGTTAGTACACTTGAAGTTGTCCCAGAGGCTCCTTACGCTATCTTCATATTTTTGGATTCTTTTTTCTTGTTGCTTTTCCGTTTGGGTGTTTTTTGCTTCTTTGTATTTCAAATCTTTGAGTTGATTCTTGGGATCCTCTAGTGTGCTGTTGAATCTCTCTATATTATTCTTTATTTCAGTCAGTGTATGCTTAATTTCTGATTGTTCCTTTTTCATATCCCCGAGGGTCTCACTAAATTTCTCAGGGGTTTCTACAAGATTCTTGAGTAGCCTTATAACCGTGGTTTTGAACTCTATATTCAGTAGTTTGCTTTCTTCCATTTCTTTCATTTGTGACTTGTTTCTTTGTTTCCGCATTTTCGCTGCTTCACTGTGTTTGTTTCTATGTACTGGGTAGCTGCTAATCCTTGAGTTGTGTTTGTTTCTATGTACTGGGTAGCTGCTAAGTCTCCTTGAGTTGATAGAGTGGCCTTGTGTGGTGTCTTATAGGGCCCAATGGCTCAGCCTCTCCAGTCACCTGAGGTGGACGCTCTTGGTGCACCCCTTTGTGGGCTGTTTGCACAGTCCTGTTGTAGTTAACCCTTGATTGCTGTTGGTATCACTGGGAGGAGTTGACCTTTAGCCCAACTGGCTGTGATGACCTGCTGTGTCTACACTGGAAGATCTGTTGTGCAGGAGATACCCTTATGGGGCAGGACTTGTTTCAGTGTGGCTTTGATGCTCACTGAGTGTGCCCTTTGAATATTTCTCTTATGGATGTGAAGAGTTGTAATCCGGTATGGTCTCATTCTGACCACTGGGTACACTGGCTCTTCGATGTCCAAGGAGGTGCAAGTTCAGCCACTGTCTGGGGCCGCCCAGCAGGAGCTAAAGAGGCATCTGCAGATTCCTCCTCTTTGTATGGGGTTTGGAAATGCCCAGACGAGGCCCAGCTGTGAAGCAAGGCAGGCTGCTGCTGCCGGGCCTTTGGGCCTTCTTTTGGAAGCTCTGGGGCTCTCTGACCTAGCTGTGGTTTCTTTTGGTATGCCAATCTTATTTTTTTGTAGTCTCATTTCTTTATTTTTTAACTTCTTTGTTATGCCTAGGAAGATATATGAAAACCACTGTTTTTAAGAGTGATGGTGAAGTTCATTGACAATGTTTTCTTTCATTGTTTTCATGGTTTCAGGTCTTATGTTTTAGTTGTTAATCCCTGCTGAGTACATTTTGGTACATGGCCTATGAATGGGATCTAGTTTTATTATTTTTGCATGTATCTATTCCATTTTTGTCTCCCTACTTGGTGAAGAATCTGTCTTTACCTATTGTGTGTTCTTGCCTGTTATCTTGTAGACTAGTAGCCCAGTGCACAAAAATTTGTGCACTCGGGGGTGAGGGTGAGGAGTGGGGCCAGACCCCTCAGCCCGACCTGCACCCTCTGTCATGTTCCGGGATCCCGGCCACTCCTGGCCTAGGCACAGGCCTACAGGCTTGGGGCGGCCTGGCTCCCGAGGCTTCATTTTATCAAGAGAACAAAGTCGGCGTTATTTACAGCCCTCACAGAACCCAGTACACTGCATCTGTGCATACAACTGTCTCGTTCATGTGCCTGCTTCGCCCTACTGAATTACTAACATCTTGAGGACATAGCTCTGTCTTATCCGGCTTCAACTTCAGTGCCTGGCCTAGTGCCAGGGACCTGAGAGGGTTTGCTGAGTGAGTGAATAATGAGTGAGTGAAAGAGTGAATGAATGAGCGAGTAAGTGAATGAGCAAGCAGCTAAGGGGCGGGAACGCGTTGCCATGGCAACATGGCAGAAGTTCCGGCCTCACTCCCGGCTCCCTGAAGCCCACCCTGGGAAAGTTCCTCCCTGTTCCCAGTGGCCTGGGGCCCCTCTCCTGGCTGCATACTGAATTACTAACATCTTGAGGACATAGCTCTGTCTTATCCGGCTTCAACTTCAGTGCCTGGCCTAGTGCCAGGGACCTGAGAGGGTTTGCTGAGTGAGTGAATAATGAGTGAGTGAAAGAGTGAATGAATGAGCGAGTAAGTGAATGAGCAAGCAGCTAAGGGGCGGGAACGCGTTGCCATGGCAACATGGCAGAAGTTCCGGCCTCACTCCCGGCTCCCTGAAGCCCACCCTGGGAAAGTTCCTCCCTGTTCCCAGTGGCCTGGGGCCCCTCTCCTGGCTGCATACTGAATTACTAACATCTTGAGGACATAGCTCTGTCTTATCCGGCTTCAACTTCAGTGCCTGGCCTAGTGCCGAGCAAGTAAGTGAATGAGCAAGCAGCTACCGGCGGGGATAGTTCGCACTCTGCTGTGGGCTGCCTGACGCAAACCCCGGGAAGTTTCCGCCCTGCTCCCAGCGGCCCCACTCCCCTCTCCCGGCTGCATAGTTCACGCAGGGCAAAGGCGGCCGGGGTGTGCGTTTTGGCAGATTGGTGCATTAGCACCTGTCAGGCGGGGATCCCCCCCCTCCGGAGGTCCATTTGTGGGCGTGGCCAGTGGCAGATCGGTGCATTAGCATCCGCCAGCCTCGGATCCCCTTGGGATGGACGTTTGTGGGTGTGGCTGGTGGCGGATCAGTGCGGTCCCGCTGCCAGCCCTGGGTCTGTTTTCATACCGGCCGCCTGCAGACCGGGTCGCAAATAGCAGGCCCGGATGGCAGCGGGGCAGGCGGGATGGTGCTGTCCCGCCCTGCCTGCAGTATGCAAATTAGCTGCCATCTTTGTTGGCTGTTAACCGCCACCTTAGTTGGCAGTTAATTTGAATATCGCCCTGATTAGCCAATGGGAAGGGTAGCGAAGTTACGGTTAATTACCATGTTTCTCTATTATTAGATAGGATTAGTTAACTTTATAGCTTTGGACATTTTAAAAATTGTGTTACTTCTTTTTTCATGTTGCTTTTTATATATTCTGAATATTAACTACTTATCAGGTAATATGCTTTGTAGGATTTTTTTTCCCAATTCACAGCTTGTATTTTTAACGCACTGACAATTTGCTTTAATGTGAAGTTATTTTTATATGGTGTGTAATGCCTTTTGACTACTCTGTTTTGTTTACCTTCCCATTCAGTGATACAATATAAAATCAAATGTCATAAAAACTTTTCTATATGCCTTAGCCAGATTGCCTTAGTGGATAGAGTATCATGATGGCCTGTGGACAGAAGGGTCCCGGATTCAATTCCAATCAAGGGCACATGACCAGGATGCAGGCTTGATCCCCAGTAGAGGCAATGCAGGAGGCAACCAATCAATGACTCTCTCTTAATGATTCTATCTATCTCTCCTTCTCCCTCCCTCTCTAAAATAAATAAAAATGTATTATATAAAAACAAATACTTTTCTATAACTTTTCTTTTAATAGTTTGAGTTATTACTAGCTTTATGTTTCAAACTTCCCTTATTCTTTTATATATAGACATCTAAGTATCTCAACACTATTCGTATATATGAGTATGTCCTTTATTTCTTTTGTGATGTAAGCACCGCTGTAGAAGATTATTTTACCTCATGCGTGAGAAGCTTTAAATAGGCTTTTTATTCTACAGTGCTTCTTTTTTATAGGTGTGGTTAAACCTCACATGAGAACATAAATGTTTTTTTCATTGCTTTTCAGAGAGAATGGAAGGGTGGGAGCAAGGACCAGGAGAGAGAAGGAAACATTGATGTGAGAGAGACACATTGGCTGGCCCCCTTCTGTCCCCACTTCAACCCAGGTGGGGTGGGAATTTGCAACCCAGGCATGTGCCCTTGAACGGGCATTCAACCCACCACCCTGAAGTGCACAGGATTATGCTCTAACCCCGAGCTAAACTTAACAGGGCCTACCGTGCTCCTGTATTTACCTGTGTCTCAATGTGTATATTATACTTTTTTTTAAAATATATTTTTTATTGATTTTTTACAGAGAGGAAGGGAGAGAGAGAGAGGGTCAGAAACATCGATCAGCTACCTCCTGCACATCTCCCTCTGGGGATGTGCCCGCAACCCAGGTACATGCCCTTGACCGGAATCGACCCTGGGACCCCTCAGTCCTCAGGCCGATGCTCTATCCACTGAGCCAAACCGGTTTCGGCTATTATACTTTTTAATAACACCAGTTATGAAATATATTTTAAATCAGGAAGCGTGATGCCTTTAAGGTTATACTGTCTCTCCCAAGTTTGTTTTGGGTTCCCTGGTTTCCTGTGTCATTTCATACCAATTTCAGGATGAGGTTTGCTAATTTTTTGAAAAGTGTCATTGGGACGTGGATTTGAATGTATATGTCAACCTTGGGTACTCACGACAGCTTACAGTGTTAGCACTGCAGTTTAAGATCATTGCATGTGTAGTTCAGTTATGCTGTTATTCATGTAAACACATACTTAATTTGTTATTTTGTATTAATTTCTGTTACCTTACAGCAGAGGACTATTATAAAGGTGGAAAAGTCTTTGAGCAAATGTCCAATCACAATATACATCAGTTTATTCCTATTGTGGAGAAGACACACAAAGGAAGTAAATGTGTCCAGTCTTTTCAGCAGTCTTTAAATTACACTGAACAAGAGAATGTTCATACTGGGGAGGAGGCTTACAAATGGAATCCTTGTGGCAGAATCTCCAGTCAAGTATTCAATCTAAATAAAATGAAAAAAATCCATAGTGGAGAAAAACCTTATAAATGTCAAGATTCTGGTAAAACATGTAATTGGCTGTCAGGTTGCACTGTAAATCAGAGAATTTATACTGGAGAGAAGCCTTATAAATGTACAGAATGTGGCAAAGCATTCAGTGAGTCCACAAAGCTTAATCAACATCAGAAAGTTCATACGAGAGAGAAGCCTTATAAATGTGGAGAATGTGGCAAAGACTTTGGCCGCTATTCACTTCTTACTAGACATCAGAGAGTTCATACTGGAGAGAAGCCTTATAAATGTACAGAATGTGGCAAAGCCTTTAGCCAGTCCTCAGCCCTTCCTGGTCATCAGAGAGTTCACACTGGAGAGAAACCTTATAAATGTAGAGAATGTGGCAAAGCCTTTAGTAGATCCTCACACCTTATTATTCATCAGAGAGTTCATACTGGAAAGAAGCCTCATAAATGTACCGAATGCGGCAAAGCATTCAGGGACTCCTCACATCTTAATCGACATCAGAGAGTTCATACTGGAGAGAAGCCTTATAAATGTACAGAATGTGGCAAAGCATTCAGGGTCTCCTCACAGCTTAATCAACATCAGAAAGTTCATACTGGAGAGAAGCCTTATAAATGTGGAGAATGTGGCAAAGCCTTTGGCAGCTCTTCACTTCTTACTAAACATCAGAGAGTTCATACTGGAGAGAAGCCTTATAAATGTACAGAATGTGGCAAAGCCTTTAGCCAGTCCTCATCCCTTACTGGTCATCAGAGCGTTCACATTGGAGAGAAACCTTATAAATGTAGAGAATGTGGCAAAACCTTTGGTAGATCCTCACACCTTATTATGCATCAGAGAGTTCATACTGGAGAGAAGCCTTATAAATGTACAGAATGTGGCAAAGCATTCAGGGACTCCTCACAGCTTAATCGACATCAGAGAGTTCATACTGGAGAGAAGCCTTATAAATGTACAGAATGTGGCAAAGCATTCAAGGTCTCCTCACAGCTTAAACGACATCAGAAAGTTCATACTGGAGAGAAGCCTTATAAATGTGGAAAATGTGGCAAAGTCTTTGGCAGGTCCTCAAACCTTACTAAGCATCAGAGAATTCACACTGGAGAAAATCCTTATAAATGTACAGAATGTGGCAAAGCCTTTAGCCAGTCCTCATCCCTTACTGGTCATCAGAGAGTTCACACTGGAGAGAAGCCTTATAAATGTACAGAATGTGGCAAAGCATTCAGGGACTCCTCACAGCTTAATCGACATCAGAGAGTTCATACTGAAGGGAAGCGTTATAAATGTACAGAATGTGGCAAAGCCTTTGGTAGATCCTCACAACTTATTATGCATCAGAGAGTTCATACTGGAGAGAAGCCTTATAAATGTAGAGAATGTGGCAGAGCCTTTAGGCATTCTTCATCCCTCACTTATCATCAGAGAGTTCATACTTGAGAGAAGTCTTAACAGATGTGAGGAGTGATGGAAGTGTTTACCAGGGAGAAGTTAGTGAATATCACAGAATTTGTACTGGGATGAAGCCAAATAAATGTGCAAAATATAAAAAGGCCTTTCCGTGCTATTTATATATTACTGTACCTGAGAGTCTTCCTACTAAAGAGAGTCCTTACAAACTTAGGAAATGGGCTGGAGCATTTACCCTCAAATCAAAGTTTACCGAGCATCATTGATTTTATAGTGGTGGAAAGCCTACACTGTAGAAAATGTGAGAGAGCCTTTAACGTGTAGTCACACTTAGTCAAAATTTTAAGAATCATTCTAAAGAAGAACAGAAGTAATCTAGTATTTAGCCAAAGATTTAACCATAGGTTTAATCTTCATAGAGAATGATAAAATTAGGCCTTATAAATTATGAGGCATATGTCAAAGTGTATGTATCTCATAGAGCATCTGATAATTATTACTGGATAGAAGCCCAGCAGATATAAAGAATTCTGAAAGCTTATTCAGTATGCAAAACTTAGTTGAAATCAGAATTCATACTGGAGAGAAACAATACAAATATAAACATAGTCCTGAAATCTTTAATCAGTACCCGTACCTTATTCCTTACATTGGCATTCATTCTACAGGGAAACCTTGAAACAGATGAATGTGGGAAATCATATACTTGGACCTACAACCTCAGTCAATACCAAGGATTGTAATTGGGTAGAAATTCTACATTTATGATATAGGACAAAGGACTTTTGTTCAAAATATACAGTTGATAAATTTCCAAGGAATTTATGCCTTAAAGTGACTTTAAAGATATAAAAACTTGACCAAAGTATGTAATTGATTATGAAAATATCACTGAATTCACATTAGATAGGTAGCCAAAATGCCTTTCAGGTATTGTTCTAAATCAGAATGTTTATTACACAGTGTACTCCAAACTTTAAATGTTATTAGATAATATTTTTATACTTGAATATATCAAAAGAATTTATTTTTCCATATCTACAGTTACTTAGAGTGTTATCTATTTTATATTGAAATCATGTGAGGTATTTTGAATAGGAAATATTACTGTGATTCTATTCCGATATCACTTGCTGCTATGTGTTATTACTGCTGTATGTGTGAAATCATGGGGTTGTTAACTTCCTTAAAGATCTGTGAGCTGTGTATATTATATGTATTTCATTTATATTCATTTTTCTCTGGAATATTGGATACATATATTTTTTCTTCTACTGGAGAATATACTATTGCATTAATTGTTTAAAATAGTTCTAACTTTCTGTAAATGATACAATGAACATTAGTTCCTTTTCTGTGCCGATATGTTCAACTGAAAACTTCATCTGAATGTCTATTTGTGGTTGTGACATTTACGTGACTGGAACTGCAACTCAGGACCATGCTGTCTGTGTAATAGGTTTTCCATAATTAAGAGGAATATTGTAATACCCGTGACATTGTTTTGCCCAGGATGCAGAATTGCCATGAACTCTGCTAGTCCAGAGAGGCCACCTTTCCAAGGCTGCACTGCTGGCTAAACTCAGAAAAATTAATTCTATTTATTTCATTTCCCAGTTCCTGTTTCTCTCTGGTTTTTCACTTTGTCTTCTAGGCTGCCATTCTTTTTGCAGTGCTGTGACCTCAGCATGTAAAGCTCTTCCTGTCCCACGTCAGCCCTTCAAACCAGTGTAGCGTCTGCTCAATAGTTTGGAATTTATAATGCAGTGACTGACATCAGAACTTGGTGGATATTTTGCTTTATTTTCATAAAGTAGGTAGCCCACCACTCATGTTCTCATGCTGACATCTATAGTTTTTAATATGAATATGAACTTTTGGAATACCACAAATTGGCATCTGTGTACTTTGTAAGTGGAATTATTTTTCTTGTCCTGATACTCATTGGAAACCTTAAGAATTTCTGAGTGTGCCCTAACTGATTTGGCTCAGTGGATAGAGCATTGGCTTGCAGGCTGAAGGGTCCCAGGTTCGATTCCGGTCGGCATGTACCACCTTGGTTGTGGGCATATCCCCAGTAGGGGGTGTGCAGGAGGCATTGATTGATGTTTCTCTCTCTCATTCCCTCTCATTGATGTTACTAACTCTCTATCCCTCTCCCTTCCTCTCTGTAAAAAATCAATAAAATATATTTTTTTTAAAAAAGAATTTCTGAGTGTTACCTCATTAACTTCTTTATTGGGATGGAATTACCCCATGGTATACAGGTTTTATTCTCTCTTTCTTGAATGTAGGCCAATGCTGGTCATTCTTTCTAGAGGAACCCCAGAGACCATGGCAGCTTTGCAGTTGAAACCTTTTATTATTTTGGATGCAAAAGTATTTTGTATAATGACAGCATGACCAGAGGTGTGTCCATTGGCATTATCTCTCCCTGGAGCGTTTTCCAAGCCTTCACTCTAAGTTCCAGGGACAGCAGGATAGCCGAGATTAAAATGAAAGCCGTCCATTTATTCTCAGTGTCTAGTGCTGAATTTCTACAAGGTGGTAGAAATTTGAGGAACAATACAAATATAAAGAGAAATCATTCTCTCCACATTCATCAGTTCCTATCCATGTGACACCCAAAGGACTGACAAAATGAATACAGAAATAAGATGTTCAATATCCTTGTACTCTATTTTCTGACATACCCATGAAGCATTCATATGTGTATGTATGTGCTGATATTTTGTGTGTAGGATTCATCTGGGGAGCGTGCATAAGCCAGCAGGTGGACATCCCCTAAGGGGTCCCAGACTGCAAGAGTGCACAGGCTGGGCTGAAGGACTCCTCACCCCCAGTTCACGAATGTTGTGCACTGGGCCTCTAGTCTTTATAGGTTTCTCAATTTGCAGGAAAGGAAAGGTGGGGACATCAGGAGTCGGGGCTTTATGTTTTGTTCTGTTACTGGGCAAACTATGGGATCCCGGTCATTCATAGAATTCAATCCCATCTTGACAATAGTTCCGTTTTCTGGTACTGTAGTAAGGAACGTTGAGGAGGTGTGTTGATACAAAACACAGATAAGATCTTTTTTTTTCTCCCCACGTGGCCATTAGGAAAATAGATGAAGCACCCACTGTCTTTTGGGTTACAGGGCATTCTGTCTTCATTTTGTCCAGAATGCAATTTCCTCCACTTTGGGGTGAAAAGCTCTAAATCAGAGATTTCAACTTTTTTTTTTTCACATGGCACACATGAACTAATTACTGAAATTCAGTGGTCCACCAAAATATATATTTTGCCAATCTTCCCTCAAAAATGTCTGATTTTGGTTCATCCATACCACACAGCTATTAATGTGTTTGCTGTTGTCACTTATTTTTCCGACAATGTATGGGTAATGTAGTGTGTGCTATTGACTAAGCAGTCACTGTTGACTGTTGTTGTTTTTTTAAATATATTTTTATTTCAGAGAGGAAGGGAGAAGGAGAGAAAGACAGAAACATCAAGGATGAGAGAGAATCATTGATCTTGATCGGCTGCCTCCTGGGGACTGAGCCTGCAACCCAGGCATGTGCCCTTGACCAGAATCGAACCCGGGACCCTTCAGTCCGCAGGCCGACGCTCTCTCCACTGAGCCAAACCGGCTAGGGCCACTGTTGACTGTTTTAATAATTATTGCAGCACACCAGTTTTCCTGTGTGACACTCCAGTTGATACTCTCTGTGGTAAACATATAAAATTCCGGGGAGAGGTCGGGGGGTGGGGGCGAGGAAGGATAGATATGTAATACTTGAAACAATAAGGAATTTAAATTTTAAAAAAAATCTGTCTTTTCTAATGATTCATTTAAGATCACTTTTTTTTTTAATGATTTATTTCTCTGGAAGATCTACCCATTGATGTCAATAGGAAGTTAAAGCCGCCTCCTATGATTGAATTAATTTGAAAATGCCAATAACAACAATATACCTATCTTAATCACTTACAATATAAATGTTTTAACTGCTTCAACCAGAAGACACAGGGTATCTAATGAATAGGAGAATAAGACCCTTAACATATGCTGTTCACATGAGGCAAAGGCTGTTTCTCCTATCAGTCTTGTTTTTTCCCATTGGTTCCTGCGCATTTGTGCACATTAATACATCAATGCACGTGTAGTCTCTTATTTCCTGGTTTGTATAGACCTGCCAGGTTATCCATCCAGATGGGGCCCCTAAGCAGTTCTGACTGACCAGCCTGGCTGATAGTGCAGAGCCTACTTGCAGGCTCTAGTCCATGTGTGAATAGACACCCCTTCTCAAAGTGATCACCTCACCAAAGCTTGTGGCTGAGTTCCATGTTACTGCCTCATGCAGAGACATGTGGTAAGGATGTTAATTTTCTTATGGGAACATAAAAGCAAACAGTAAAACTAGCTTTCAAATGCTTACTGGTTACACCCAAAATAATTTTAAACTTGAAATATACAAGTTAATATTCATTGTGCTGTTTACTGTGGAAATTCTGAAGATGGTGCTGATGGAATTTGCATCAACCAGACTGCATCTATATATACCACAGACATTTCTAAAAGCTTAGTTCAAATACAGAGCCTCCTGGTTTTCTCAGAAATAATATGAGTTTTGAAAAATTTAAAGTATTTTTATTTTACTATTTTAACGTTTTTTTATAAATTTGTAATTTTTAAAACTCTTTATTGAATGCAGAGGGGAAGGGAGAGGGGGAGAGAGATAGAAACATCAATAGTGAGAGAGAATCATGGATCCCCTGCCTCCTGCATACCTTACATTGGGGCTGGAGCCCTCAACCGGGGCATGCACCCTTCCAAGGAATGGATCCCTGACCTCCTGATTCATAGTTCTATGTTCAACCACTGAGCCAGGCCATCTAGGCAGATTTTTTTATCTATATAAATAAAAATGTAAATGTTCGTTTGTTCAAAATCTTAAATCTCTGAAAGTTCTTCATCGATTGCTTTAAATTTTGACACAACGTTGCATTCGAATACACGTGTGTTTTTATATGCCTATATATCTACTATTATATAGATGTCACACCTGTGACAGGTAAAAACATGCTTTTTTTGAAAAACAGTGCCATCTGTTGGACGTAAAAGCAACACACGCTATACTAAATATGTTACGATTCCATTTCAGTGTTTCTGTTTACAATTATAAATTGTAGATAAAATTAACTACAAATATGCGTGTCCAGCTGCAAAACGATCGATCAGCTGAGTTATTCTCGCATCAATTGCTGGAAATTTTGGGAACGGAAAGGTGCCGGTTGATCTGACCTCAGGACGAATTTCATTGCCTCATAACTTCTGCAACTTAGTGACGTCAAAAGAAGAATTGGTTGAAAAAGTATTTCCCAATATTCAAACCAATGATAAGAATCACGATTGGCTGAGTGAACGAGCTATCCTTGTGGCCAAGAACAAAGACGTCTACGGACTTAACAATATCATTCAGTCAAACATTCAAAGCGAGGCAGTCACATACAAGTCCATCGACACTGTTGTGGAAGCAAATGAAGCGGTTAATTATCCAACAGAATTTTTGAATGCACTCTGCCAGGGATGCCACTGCACATACTGCAATTGAAAATCGGTGTTCCAATTATCATGTTGCGAAATATCAACCAGCCAAAGCTTTGCAACGGCATGTGGCTTGCAGTAAAAAAATTAATGAGCAAAGTCATAGAAGCAACAATCTTGACAGGACCTTTCAAAGGTGAAGATGTCCTCATTCCTCGCATTCCTATGATTCCAACGTATATGCCATTTCAATTTAAGAGATTGCAATTCCCCATTCGATTGGCGTTTTCAATCACCATCAACAAAGCTCAGGGCCAATCTTTAGAACTGTGCGGTTTAGATCTAGACACGGATTGCTTCTCACATGGACAATTATATGTTGTGTGTTCTAGAGTCGGCAAACCAGACAATCTCTATCTGCACAGACAATGGAACAACAAAATATATTGTATACCCACAAGCATTGTGAAATTAAACATATTTGAAACGTGCGCTTTCTCTTTTCTTTCTTTCGGACCCTGCCTCCTCAGGTGTCTCCTCAATTTTATCCAAGACCGAATCCAGGCTGTCAAACTCATGGTCCTGCACACCCAGTACTCTCAGCTAGTGGATACTAGCGACAAATCCAGGGTCTGAATTCGTCTCCTAAGACCAGAGGGAGTGTGATGAATTGAATGTCAGTATAAAATTTTCAAATCTGTTCCCCAGCCGTGCCCCAGTTAGAGTTCTCTGTAAACTGACAAGAGATCAAGGATGTGGTCAAGGATGGGTAACCAGACATAACACCAAGTTTCCAACTTCCTGACATCTGTGCTTCAAGGCCCTGATTAGACCCTTGCAACTGTAATCAAGGACGTTTGTGGTTTCTGTGAATAAAAGCTTGCCTAGCACCAAGGTCGGGGCTGCTGCAGGAGGAGAGCTCCCTGCGTGGAGACACCTGTGGCAGTCGCTGGCCAGCTCAATAAATCCTCGCTTGCTACTTAAGACCTAATTGGAGTCGGTGGTCTTATTCTCGCAAATGCTGGTCCACAACAGCGGACCGACGCTCTGTCCACTGAGCCAAACCAGTTAGGGCCAGGTCTTATCTTTAAGGTAAATAAAGATTTATAATTCTGAAATGGATACCTATATTCATGAAAATACTGGAAAATAATAAAAATAAAAAATGGTGATGGGTCTAAGTGAAATGATAACAGTTATTATTCTTATAACTCTATTTTAAATATTGTTGATTTTCAATTCTTTTGTTTTCAAAATAACAGGAAAACTACAGGATATATTCTACATTGATATCAATGTCCCATTAACTAGGCTATAGGGACTACTAAAGATAAAATATTCATTTAAAAATGAATTCCAGGAACACAAAGACTTCACAGACCACAACTTACAACTAGAAAATTTTTATCCCTTGAAGAATACATAAACCTGTTTCCCACTATGATGGATGGGACTATCTCATCAGGGGCCTAACCATGAATGGGTATCTGGGTCTTTCTGGGACACCCCCATCCACCTGCTTCCCTGACTCAAGCTGCCTCTCCCTTCAGATGGGGAAACAGGGAGGGGCTGAGAGAGCAGGCTGCCCTTCCCCTCCCCCCTCCTCACTGAGGGTTTAAGGATCCAGGTGAATCGCAGGCAGAAAGTTTCTGGTTTCAAACCCAATCGGCCCGCCTTTTGAATTCCCTGTAACTTCACTGTAAGAATGTGCTCCCGGCTCGTGAAGATCCTGGGAAAGACCCCTCCCTGGGACACCTGCAGCTGAAGGGCAGACCAGCCAGTAGCTCTAAGCACAGCCTCTGGGAGCTGGGAAACTTCTGTGTGAATTCCAGGTTCCTCCTCCCTCTTTATGCTTTTGCCACAGCTGCCATTTACTCGCTAGCACCCTAATAAAGGAACAGCGCCCTCTATCTGGGGTGCCTTGTGCCATCAGAGGGCACCTGGCCCTTTCCTCCCTTTAAAGAAGTAAAATAAACGCCCTCTCTCTGCTC